ATAAGTGGTATTTCGACGGGAACTGATGCGAATCTTCGTAATAGTAATTAGGTATAATTTTCCTCTCGTTTTTACCCACGTCAACGAGGGTGGCCTTTTTGTTTATCAATATATTATCATTTACTTTTCCAAGATAATTCAAAAGAGCGTGGCTCAGATGAGAATGCTGCGTGGTATGTTAATCTCGTTGGGGAAAAAAACCTCAAAGTTTGGATGTCGTATAATGTTTGTCGTGATATATATCGTGCATCGTGCAATCGTGGCCGGAAAAACTTGAGATTTTCTACTATTTATCGAAAAACGTCATACCCTTTCCGCATTTCGTCCYAGCGAACAAGACACATTCATCCTAAAAAATAATATTTTATAGTACACCTGAATGCGCCTTAAGAGCCTGCACCGGTGGAGGTTAAGGCCGAAAACCGAAAATTAGCGTATACTGGACGGCGGCCGAAGCTTTTGTACGCCGCGCGCAGTGGCGAGACTTCGCGGAGCACGGCGCACACCACAGATCGTTGAAGCGCGCGCACCGGAACGATACCACCGCGAGCGTCCGACGAAAGCTCAAGAGTTCGGAAAACAAAAAAAAATTCCGACGATAGCGCGTGTACCTATTATTTACGCGTTTAATGACAATTGTCACACGGATCGTGTATTGCGGTTGTCGCGTCGACCGCGGCGAATATTATTACTAAACCGTCTCGGTGTCGGTCAGTGACGATCGCACGAGCGAGCCGGCGTGCACGCGCCAAGAGACTGCTCCGCGAGAGAGCCCGACCCGACCGAATAGCTGGATCGTCGGTAGTTCTAGGCACCAGGTGTGTGCGTTGCATAGGTATACCAGGCGGGCGACGGGACCGGAGCRCTGGAGTACAAACTGCGCTCGGACGACACACAAACCGGTTACCCACACCGATCGTCACCGCGGCACACGGTCTCGGCGCGACTGGAATTTTTCGTCGATCGCATTTCGCGGCGGCGGCGGCATTGTCGTCGTGATGCAGTAATAACCATAATAATGATAAGAATGTTACTTTACATCGTGTCGCGCTCTGTAGTATATATTATTATAATATACGCGCCGCGTGCATTTCAACACGTTTCAAAATTGACAAAAATGTAATATAATAAATAATAATGCAATGCGTACTGTAGGTGTGTTTTGTACTTGAGTAGGTATATCTATGTACATATAGATTATAGATTACAATTAATAGAAAGTATATTAGAAAAAAAAAAAACATATAAATCAAATGGAAGTTTCAAGTTTTTCAAATTGCATTCATAAAAGTACATATCATTATATTATGTTAACCTCCTTATCATAAACCTGCCATCTGGGAAAATAGTTTAAACAATAACGTTAAATGACTATTATAATATACAACGCCATAATAGCAAAATATGGTACCTATGTTGTGTCCGAAAAAAAAKTTAAAATATATAATACAATATTATCATTTTAGTACTACAATCGAAAATTGTTTTAGTATATTGTGTTCAGTCGTTCAGTGCGTCAAGTCTTATAGT